CTTTTTAGATTTGAGAGGTTTTCCCTTCAGCATACCATAAATTACAGACGTGATGACGAGAATAAAGAGAAAATAACTCGACACTTGAAGATGAAGGTTCGCCTTCGCTCTCTCGTCCTAGAACATGCAGAAAATATGAAATACCTTAAAACTACGGAGAGAATAGTTTGAGTCACATTGTTTGAACAGTAATAAACACTCAACTTTTACACAACACTATACACAACGTTTGCCTAAAATCAAGTCGTTTGAAATCAAGTCGTTTGCCTAAATCAAGCACACAACTCACCTACAGTACCCAGGCCTTAAAATATCGGTCGGTCACGGACATTGTCCGACCCATTCGTGAAATTGTCCAACGTAGAGAGGGAGCCACCGGACATTCTGTCCGACCAAAGTGAAACAGAGGTTTATTGTTTGTCCGACCCGAGTGTGTTGATGTCCGACTGAAATGTAGCTTTGCCCATCGTAAATCAAAATGTACCCTAGCCCAGGAGTAGAGGCTTGTAGCTATGTTAAATGGAAAATCAGAGTACTATTGTATAGAAGGTGAACTGGAGATATTGTTTTAACGTAGTCGAGCGCGGGGCGGCGAGCGAAATGGTGAAGTGGAAAACGGGCTTAAGTTGTCGAAGTCTATTTTAATACTGCTGTTCTGGAAAGCAAGTTAATTTTGGCTTGGAAATAAGTATGAAAGAAACGAATTATTTAATATCTTCACAACATTTACCGTTCAGAATTAATACATTGTGCTGATATTCATTTGTGTCATTCAGAATTATTTTCAAGTCAAAACTGAACTGAAGGTCATCGGACATATGTCCGACCCAAACTCAACGTCATCAGACATTTTGTCAGACGGCCCTGTAAAAGATATTTTCCTGGGTACAACAATATACAGTAAGCGAGTTGTGTGCTTGATTTACACAGTTGTGTAGCGTAAATTGGCCTTAAGGAATTACAACAACACTGTGACTTACCACGGAGAGCTTTTCTCGCAGTTCCAAATCAACAGGATGTTTAAAATAAATGACTGCACCAGATTCACATTTTGAGTGTCGACTTTTTCTTGTTAGAGCTTTCATTGTGGTCATTGAACTGAACGATGACGAATTACACGTTTCTGGCTTCCTAAGTAGGTTAAAACATACAAAACATGGTATAAAATCACCACTGATCATTACGGTGTGAAAGTACCAGTCTCTCAATAATATGACATGTACACACTAGATTAAATTCCAATGTAATCTCTTTTTTTCTTCTTTAAAATCAATGCATGCATGCAGTAAGGAATTAAACAGGGATGTAGTGGAAGGGGGGGGAGGCTAAAATAGAAGGGCTTATAAAGTCTTTTCTGTTTGGTGGGAGAGGGCTGAGCCCCTATTATTGTGAGAGAAATTATTTTTGATACTATAACAATTTTACTCCAATTTAATAAGGTATGGCATTATTGGACAATTAAAATGTTCTGTTATTCCAATTTATTTCCAAGCATTCAATTTTTTAAGGTCGGACCAGTAATGCCAATCTTCAGGATGGCTTTTGACAAATGAGCCCGGTATAGTGATAGTATTCTCTTGTCTTAATTAACCCATTAAGTTGCATTTGTGCATTACTTTATTATTTTACTCTGTCTATTGCCAGACAATTTCACTTGCCAAGGGGAGGGTGTTTGCACTCAATAAGTTAACCAGTCTGTATCCCATGTGTCTAGTTAACCCATTAACTTGCACTGCTGCCTACTTTATCATTTCACTAATGCCAGATTGAGATGATTTCACTTGCCAAGGGGAAATCAATGTTGCTCAATGTATCAATGGGTTAAGCTCAATAACCCACTGAGTTGCATTGAGTCTAAAATTATTATTTCACTCTGCATAATGCCAGACAATTTTACTTAGTCAAGTCTTGATTGAACATATTGTTGATAACTTTACCATTCAGGCAGTACTTCTCTTGGAGCCAAAACTGTAACACAGCTGTGAAAGTATCCTTCAGGAAGCTTACATTTATTTCCTTTGATGCATTTTTTCTCTGAATGACACAAGAACATACATTAACAGAACTTTCAAGTTTCAGAACTTTCAGAACATTAAAGAAAATTGCCAAATATTAAGGACTGAAATTTGCAGCAGCCACAAATTGGAAAGTATGACTCTGCACATTTTATACCTGTATTCCAAACTTCAGATAATGAGAATGTCAAATTCATTGTCCTCCTGAAAATGCCTAAAACATTCAGCAATTGATTTAAGCCAATATAGGGGGCAATGTGTCCAATGCTATATATTATGACCTGAGATACATCTTGACAACTCTTCTTGCTAAATGGTTTAACCAGGGTTAGATCTACCATGGGGGGGGGGGTGCACCCTACCTAGTGCTGTCTAGCATTCCTCTAGAGAAGTCCAGCGACACCCTAAAAAAATCTGCTTGACCATACATGTTCTGCTTTTCGAATAGTGATTAGAGAAACTTCTACTGTTAGTGTATGTCAATTTCTTGAAACAATTTTATTGTTTTCTGAGCTCACGAGAAAATACTCAGAATGCTTTAGTTAAAAATCATGGTTAATATATACGTAAACATGTCGAGATTGTTAAACAGCAATTTCAAATATATTGTAGTTTATTAACAAGCAAATTTTTGTACTGTGCTACAGCAACTGTCCAGCCACACATATGTTATAAAAAGCTGATATAAACTTTATAAACAAATGTAAAACATAACAGAACGGCGAACATGCAGATTCAGCCATCTCAAATAATGGTAATGTTGCGATAGTTGCATTGCAGTCTGCAGAGGAGAGTCGGCAGTAAGGCTCCTTCATGCACCACACAATGGAAAACCTGCACCCCTCCTTGCAGATGAGTCTAGATCAACACCTGGGTTTAACCTTACCAGATCCAACAAATGGAGCGTCCATTAGTGTTGTAAGATGAGTGATGTTTCCATGGAGATAATGGTCTTCGTCTTTGATGTGAACGCCGATTTTCAATGGAATTGAGATCTGCTGAAGGTCACTTGATAGAGTTGGCAATTCCAACTTGCGTTTTGTCTTAGTATTATTGCTAAGTTTTGTCATTTTGGATTTTGTATCAACTTTATCAATACAAAATTGGACATTGCTGAGACTTGTTAAGAAGTTATTCCAACCCTACAAGGTGAAACATAAAAAGTGTATTAGGCAGGAAGGTTGATAAATATTATAAGGTGGTTATGGATTGTCTAAAGTATCCTATCCCATTCAAACAGGGTTCGAATTAGTGACAAAAAACTGATGTGCACAAATTTCCTTTAAAAATTTCTTGGGAATTTTAAAGGGAATTTTGGCTTCCCTGCGATCCTCGGGAAGGAACGCGAGTCTCTGGGATAATCCGTTGCCGGAAGCCAGGAATCCTGGCTAAGATTGAACTACGCATTCCAATTCAACGGCCAATCAGATTCCTCCCTGAAACGGATTATCCCAGAGCCTCACGTTCCTTCCCGAGGATCGCAGGCTCGGGGAACGAGATTGATTAAGCTGCAGAGCTTCCCCACTGACGAGTGAAATCGTCTGGCATTAGACAAGTAAAAAAATAAGTAGGGTGCACTAGGGTGCATTGCGGCTCAATGGGTTAAGCCTTGAATCCGCGAGTACAAAATAATCAGGACAAAAACTTACTTTTCTGGCAAAAAATTGTTGGATTGGTCCGTGATGGGGCATTCTCGTACCCAGAGCCCTTCTTACGCACAGTCAACAGACTGCGACGAGAGGCTCTGGCCAAATCCATATCAAACTGGCATCTGATTGGCTACAAAGAAGGTTATTGTTCTAATACCGGATAGATTCTATTACCATGTTTTTATGGTATCAGGTTATGGATTTGGCCAGAGCCAAAGGTAAGAAGGGCTGTGGGTAAGAGAATGGGGGAGGGGGTTGAAGCAATCCCAGAACAAGTCCGCAATCGGTGGACGAAATCTATTTGTCAACGGCCCCTAGGGTATTAAATCTGTTTAATACAGCCTTACAGTTACAGCTGAAATGGCTAATATATATATTTAGAGCTCACAGCCGTCTGCTTTTAAGATATACACTAGCAAATGTGGCAATGGTCCTACAACCCTGGGAATAGACCATGCCCCATATGTTCCTGATAACTTGTCTAATATCTGCGACGTTTGCATCATGCTTACCTTTTCAGCTTCAGGATCAACGACCTCATTATTGTTCACATAATAACCCAACCAAAACAGCGCGATGGCCAAACAGCATAGACATATTGTGAAAATAACACAGGGCGGTTTTGATATAACAAACCCCGTTAAATTCCTGCAATACCGTCGAGGTGCATCTAATAGCATTGTTAAAAGGATCTATTTTCCTGTATTTTTACTCTAATTCTGTTTAAAAAAAATTCTTTGTTTATCGGCGGCCATATTGTCACGTCCGCATTAGTACTCAGACTCCTAATGCGCATTGACGAGTATCGCACGGAATTTATGCAAAATGTGTGTTCGACGCGCCTTGATGCAATGATGTCCATTATTTTCCTCATTATTTTCAAATGCCATTGACTTACTTTTGCACGAGGCCCGAATATATACGCAAAAATCAACAGGATGTGTTCGCAACAGGCTTGTAGCAAGCTTGTCAACAAGTTGTAACAATGCTGTCATGTTATTTTGTCACTCACGACCTGTTGAAAATTGTTGAATTGCAGGACGATAGATAACAAGTTGTTGGAATAACTTGTAACAAGTCTGTTGAGCTCAAAAATCTTGTAGCAAGTTGTCAACAAGCCGTCGACAACTTGTCAGCAAGCTGGGAACAAGCAGTGCGAACACATCTTGTTGACAAGTTGTGGAACAGCATTGCTACAAGTCTGCTGCAGGTTTGTTACAACTTGTGCGTTTTTACGCGTGTAGAAAGAATAGTTTCTGAGTGATCACTGATCCAGTATAAAGTTGGTCTTGTCCAGTGAGAAATATAAACAATTATAACAAATCTCTTGAAAAGAATAATTTAATTTTCATTTTATCTACACTTGTCGTATCTACAAAGCGTTACTCTGTGGATATATTTAAGATACGTTCATAAATATGCATGCTTGGCACGTGCGCTCCTACAAAAATCACGATATGCGCACGTGACCAGCATCAATAATGCTACTATTACATTTATACGATACTGAATTGCTACAATACATTACGTTGATTTCAAACTATCTACATTTAATTCTACTAAAAATTTGTTTCGCTTCAAAAGCGCTCCATATAGTTTATACTGCTTATAAATATATTGCGATGAAAAATTACGCGACAACCTGCTATATTATTAATTCAGAGCAGCTCATAGATAAAATGCGTTCGCCGTGGCGAATCGATTCGTAAATATACTAATACAAGTTTTCTATACCATGCGCTACGGTGAAATAATGGATAATCTATTTATAATAATTGCAATAATTAAAATATTATAAACATTTCATAAAATAGTATACTCTGTGCACTGATTTTTCGTCATTTTTGTTGTTCTTTTCTGCTTTTCAGCGTGTTGCAAAATTACATCGCAAAACCATTTGGCAAAGTTTTAAACAATACCGTCATTTGCATCAACGAATGAACACTCGCAGACAAACACATTGTCTATATTCCACTGCGCATCCAAAAGACGCGTTCTGCGCAGGGGTGAACAGTCGAACTATAACATGTGGTTAGGACTGTAAACATTAAAGATGCTGTCAAGTCCGTTCTGCGCATCGGTTCTGCTCATAACAAAGGGGGACCCACAGATGTAAACATTGCCCGAATTTCGCATCTTTTGAACTTTTTCTGAATTGAAACTCTGGTTTATATTCATCTACTAACTAGCATACTAAACCAGAACAGTGTTATATATTCAGTTAGTGTATCATATTTTACAGATATAGCAGTTCGAAATGTAAACAAAGCGTTTGTTTACATTACGGACTTGACAGCACCTTTAAGGGGCAATTTTTTTCAATGTCACATATTTGCGATGAAAAGTGTTCAAAACCTAAAATCTTTTTGGCGTTCCTCTCAAAATTACTTTGTTTTAGCTTTATTTTTGCAGTTTACACATTTTGCAACCTTTTTAAATATATATGGTGGTTGAGAAACACAAAATAATAGTTAAATATTGCCAATTTATCATTGATGCTGTAAAAGTCCAATTTATCATTGATGCTGTAAAATTGACGCCATATTTATACAGCAATATAAGCAAAACTTACTGAACTTCAGACATTATTTTCTCTTTGGCTTACCATCTAAAATCTCTTCATCTTAGCATAGCCAAGTGGAACGACTTATTTTGATCAAAAGCAGCGTGCATTCCGCCATCTTGGATATTCATTCGATATGCATACGTCACAAGTAGGGTAAAAAGCGAAATTTTTATCTTGCAAACCACATGTCATTATCAATATGAAACTCGATTTTCCGAAGTCTTTTTAGTACTCAATTAACTCACAACATTTTAAGAAACTTTTCGAAGAAATTTAGTCCCACATGAAGAAGTTTTAACATGTTTACCCTGCTTGTGACGTCATCAAAAACTCAGTTAATTAGGTCAATTCTAATATCAAGATGGCGGACTGCACATTGTTTTTGGTCAAAATATTTTGAAAACCAAACAAGGTACGAAGGTACGAAAAAGTTGTAAAGGATCTTCATACAGAACTTTAAAAGTTCTTTCAAATAAGACAAAGTTAATTTTCAATGCCATATCCCTTTAAGGGAATATATCTTCTAATTTGTCAACCGTGCAGAAACTACTTGTTCTTTGAGCAACTTTTTTGCATCTTCAAATAATGATTGAACAGCTAAATATACTCTAATTCTTCCAGCCCCGGCTACATGTTATAGTTCACTTGTTACGTGCAAACTTTTTGGAACAACTTGTTGTGAGTCTGTTGGCCTCATCGACCTTGTTACAAGATGATTACATTAACTTGTTCCAGACTTGCCAACAACTGGGAACAAGCAGTGCGAACACATCTTGTTGACAAGGTGTGGGATTTGAGGATAGACAATGTTTTTTGCGCAATTATTAGATGGAACGAATGCAATTAAATCGGACTGCAATTTTGCAACACGAGGAAAATTTCGCTTTGGGATAACTATAAGGTTGTATGTGCATATAAGCAACTTTCCACAAATTTGCCATTTAATTTGAACACCGTTGCGAAACATATATCTTTAAAATAAATAGTTTCCAAAATATATCGTTTATAGGACAATTTCATTCAAAATTAACCCATGTAGAGAACTTTATCTTGTTTAGAAACGCGTTTGTCTCGTTTCAAAAACACGTTGTCTTGTTTCGGTTGTCTTGTTTTAAAAATATGTTTGTCTTGTTTAAAAAGCAAGTTCGACTTGCTTTAATCCCGTCTTGTGTAAGGTCATGTCGGTCTTGTTTTAAGAATGTTTGTCTTGTTCAACAAAACTAGTTTGTCCTGTTTAAAAGACGTGTTTTTCGAGTCGAAAACAAGTTGAACTACTTATAGTTTGTGGCCGAAGTTAGGCCTTGAAATCTAATTCATTCTCATTTTTTTAATTTAAAATACTGCTTAATTTTTCCGCGGTGTTCTTGCATATAATTGTGGAAGATTACTTAGTGATGACAATAAGTTACAATACGGGTTATAATTTATTTCTTGTGGTGTGAATGTGGGGTTTGCCTCAGCATAGCAAGCCATTAAAAGCTTGTGTCATTTGTGATAACGTTATATAATGTACCGGAAGGCACGAAGTTCTGTCTTCAGAAACCGAATCCACTGTGAGCCATGACAGAGCGTCATACTGTTCCAAGATATATCTAGATGATAAAATGTTAAAGTTATAGCAAGATGCTTTCTTATACTCTATTCTTTAACTTGAGCTACACATCTTCTCCCAACTCGCGTGACACCGTGCACAAAGACACAACCCAAAGCAGCTTATAGTTGTTTATTGTAGAATACTACCTACACGTTTGAGATATCGTTTTCAGGTAGTTCAGCACAAATCACGGCAACCTATTGTAGAATACTACCAACACTGGACCCTACGTTGGAGATATCTTTTCAGGTAGTTGAGACACAAACCACGCCAACTTACTGAAGAATACTTCCTACACTGGACCGCCACGTTTGATATATCTTTTTCAAATAGTTGAGACACAAACCACGACAGCTTATTGTAGAATACTACCTACACTGGACCACCACGTTTGACATATCTTTTTCAAATAGTTGAGACCTACACTGGACTTCCACAATTGAGATAACTTTTTCAGGTAGTTCAGACAAAAACCATGGTAGCTTATTGTACTGGATTTTCATGTTTAAGATATCACTAAATGCAATCAAACCTACCTTAAGACGTTGGTATGTGCACTAGAGCTCAACACATGCTTGCCTTGACGACCTGCCTCATCAACACGGTGTAGTAGAAGTGTAGCCTAAAGAAATAGAGATATACTATAGTATGACAATTCCGCCAAATCTATGACAACAATGAAATTTTAGACTGCAGAAAATTGCACAGGCAGTTATCAAGCTCACGGTTGTTTACCATTTACATAAAAAACGCATCCGGTTTGAAATTGTGCTAAACGTAAGCAAAACTTCGAAAAGAAAATCCCTTTCGGATTATGCGCTTTTGAAGGGTTGTTTATCATTTACATAGAAAACCCATCCGGTTTGAATTAAATCGCGAAGAGCCTGGAACTGGTGAAAAAATAAAAAAGATGTAAATGGAACAAAATTCACCGGTTGAAACGCTCCACTCGGTAAGAGAGGACAACCTTTTCAAACAAATCGTTCATTCCGGAAAAGTTCCGGTTGGGCAATCGAAATATGCTTGTTCCATTTACTTTCCGTATGGAATCACCAGAATTTCCAGGTAAGGGACATGTGTGACACCTGAATGGTATACTTTTGGAACGTTTTTGGCAAAAGATTGGTATTTAATTTTTTAATTGATATTTGAGGTTGGGTAAATTTTTTTTTGACTTTTCAATGGTTGGATCAGCAACATCACCAAGAAAAACATTTCTCTTCGGTGCCAACCCCCCACCATAAATAATGACCGCTCCCTAAATGCCATTAGAGAGTTTGGCAACCTAGAACGGCAACGGCGAAAATATAATTGCTTATATTGTTGTATTTTAGCCAAAGTATACGTTACTACACTTAATTTGCCTCTTTAAGTATTCCTGTTTCTTTCAAACGTACCGTTAAGTAAAAATAGTCCGCGAATTCAAATAAAACACCTCAAATAACATCGAACGAATTAACTGTTGCCGTAATCATGCACCGTGAAAATCTACGTGAAAATCTTTTCAACAACTACGGCATTGCACAACGCTTAAGACCATGTAATTTACATTCGCCTTTGTCTTTGAGGATTAATGCTATTGTTGATGACCGTATTGCAGTTGCCGTTGCCCTTGTATTTGCCAAACTCTCTAATGATTGTGGGGGCAATGTGCCCTGCTCATTGCCCTACTGTACTTTGCTATTTTACTCTGTCTAATAACATTATTTTACTTGTTAAAGGGAAACGGGCTGGGTTTCAATGATTTAAAAATCAGCATACCTTTAGAACAACGGGAGAATTGCCATCAGCATTTTCATCGCGAGAAAACTGTTTGAACGCTGGACCAAGAGGTGCCGTGGTGTAAACACGCCCGTGAGCAAGCGGGAAACCAAAATTTTTCTCCTGTTCGCTTTGCTCATCGCTGCACGCCGATTGGCTGGGATGTGGAGAATGTAGACCAATAGGAACAAAGGATGAAGTCACGGGATCTGTTAACATCGGCGCTGACGAAGGTCGCTCGTGCGGTGACGAGCTTCTTAGGTCGTGGTGCAACTGAGTAATTCTTGATGGTGGAAAGATACCTCCGATTGTACCTGCAAAGGATTTTATTCATTTACTTTTAATTCATGTCTGTTATATAGAGACCCCAGGCAGATATTAATGATACACGCGCTTGGAGATTGAGACCTACACACGCAAAAATCCGACATCTTGTAACAAGTCTGCCAACAAGTTGTGTTCGCACTGCTTGTCCCAAGTTGTCAACAAGTTTGGAACAAGCTGTTAACAACTTGTAACAAGCTTGTTGATATTATCAGACTTGTTGCAAAGTTGTTCCAACAAGTCCGATATGGTCATGATATAACAATACTTTTACAAACTTTTTGTCGTCAACCTTGTAACATTCTTGTTATATCATGACTGTATCAGACTTATTAGAACAACCTTGTAACAAGTCAGATAATATGCTTGTGTGATGTTACTCTGAGTGTATATCTACACCGGGCAGGCTTGAAAAATATGCCTGGCCACGGTGGGATTCGAACCTACGACCTTTGGAATACTAGCCCAATGCTCTTCCAACTGAGCTACGCGGTCAGGTCGGTTCGAGTATGCGATATTTCGGAACTGACTCTAGTTCCTTCGATATCAGTGTAATCTAATAATCATGATAATAATCAAGTCAGATAATGCCATCAAGCTTGTTACAACTTGTTGACAGCTTGTTCCAAACTTGTTACAACAACTGGGAACAAGCAGTGCGAACACACTTGTCAACAGCTAGTGAACAGATTTGCAACAACTTGTTTGAAGGCTCGTAACAACTTGTGCGTTTTTACGTGTGTAGCCGGTGCAAAACTGGAGGAAAACGACTGATCTGAACGCTACAACTGAATGGAGTATCCTTTAATTTAAAGCCAAAATATTCCAGATGACAAGATATATACTACTAACTCTTGACGAAGGGCCTTCGCTCGAAACGTCGAGTTTCTGCTTGTTTATTTCAGGTAGTAATATGACACAGCACAGCAATTTCACATTGGTACTGCCCACACTGACAGAGAGTATTAAACTATTTGCATATCGAATTGTTAGGTATTTAAATTAGCTTTACTATCAGGAAAATGTCTTTATATCAATGATGTTTGAAACGCTACTTACCAAATAAGGGCATCATCGGCAACTCGTCGTCGTCTTCCGTATTCGGTTCGGACATTATGATGAGTTCGCTGTCTAATCCAACGCGTTCATCCATATCATGTATACCGTCAAGCTGTGCGAGTCTGGTGGACTGAGTATTTTCAATGTTGATGACAATGAACGAAGTCGATATTCGTTGTCGAGTGACAGATTGTACGATAGTCGTGTCTGGTTCACGGTAGTTATTGAACGCCGTCGTAACTGCAAGTGAAAATAAAAAACATTAGTTAGGGACCGGTCATAATTTATGGCCGGGGTTGGGTAAACAAAATTTTGAGTGAGTAAAAGGTTGGGTAAATGAAAAACAAAACAACTCAAGGGTTGGGTAATAAAAAATTATTATCATTTCTAAAGTATGACTCACTCAAATATTGAAGACTTTAATGTCAACAGTCATATGTCAATACAATATGCAAATCAGTCAATCAGAGTCGCTATCTTCATCATTTTCCGATTTGTCAGGAGGCAAAGGTGTCTCCAAAGAAAGTACATGTGCAGACAACACGAGACTTTACAGAAACGCATGTCATACTGGGTGGCCCAAAAAAAAGTACTCCTGTTTGATTCGTAATAACATCTAAACAAGTATAGCTTTTAAAGAGAAATAACTTGCATCAAATAGAGGAAGGACTAACTTAGACTTTGATATATT